TGTATATATATATATATATATATATATATGCCAACACCAATCTCAATAGGGTCGGGCAGCTTGGAATGGATACTCGGGCGATAGAATTTTCAAATTAAAGAATTGGATGTCGAGAGACAAACGACCATCCTTCTATACAGCGAATTGACCGACATAACCATCAATCAACGAACCTCTCACTGAAATCGATCGGCTTCCTTTTGATCGATCGACCAGTCCACTCGGTGTAAGCGAACTGATATATGCGGTCGATCGACATGACCAGTCGAATCAAAACTTCCGGCGATCGATAGACATTATATTTTGTTTGCATTAGAATGTAATTTTCATTCGTCATATGCATCGATTCAATTATTCATGCGATTATAATATTATTCTCTCCTCTTTATGTGACTGATTTTGAGACCTCTATAAGTAGGCAGTCACAACATAAATAGATGAACTTTTCACACACACACAGACACTCTCTCTTCTCCTCTCAACTCCAACTCTCGTAGCGTGTTTTCCAAAAGACAATTAAAGGATTCAACATCCTAAGAGATGGTGCGGGAAGTGTGAACTTGCCACATGTATGAAGTGGAGCACACTACGAAGGAGAATCACATCAAAGAGGCAACATCGATAGTGTTCACGAGGGAGTCAGCAAATCGAGAGATTCAATAGCAAGTCCAGGAGTTGCGGGAGCAAATAATGGGCCAATTTTAGGCCCTTCTAGAAACACTTAATTGAAAAAATGACCTTCCACTTATGGAGGTAGGAACATGAGAAACTCGCCCTCAATGAGTTCTCTTGGAGAATCCACCATCGCCATATGGTCGTGTGAGCCATCGAGTGATTGAAGAGAAATAAGAATTTCAACACGTTGACAACTTTGAGTCTACTCCAATGGTTATGCATTGTCTAGAGTGTGTAAAGCACCCGTTCTGTCGCCCCCAGAACGTTCCTTCTCTCGATAAATCTTGCAGACAGTCCCTCTGACAAAGTTAACGATTCCCCATTTGGATCCTTAGATGTGGAAGAACTATTTAGCCAACCGTGTGGCTTCTTTTGAATCATCGGTCCGAGTGTTGCAGATAAACGGTGTGCTGAAGTGTTGGCTTTTCCTAATGACATTGAAGGAGTAAACTCTTTGGCGGTTTTTCAATCTACCGATTAGAATTATTCCAACCTTCGTCTTCTGATTGTTTTGATACGCTGTCATTTGGTGTTCATAAGCGAAACCCACTTTATTTCCCCGAGATTCATGCGGCCATATTTCTAATGTACAATAAAATAACTTGAAAATATCACGTGTGTGTGTGTGCATGTGACTATACATATTTATATATATATCCAAGCCCTAGACACACTTTTAAAATCCCGAAGCCCTCTCTTGCACCCTCTGCGTCCAACATCAAATTTGCTCTCATAGACAAGAACGAGACAATTGGTTGTGTTTTCCACATCAACCTCATCCTCTTCAAAGCTCCGTGCATCATCTCACTATTGGTTGTGTTTTCCATGTGTGTGATGAGGTGGCAATTGATTCGGTGCTCAGAACAAATCGGATGGCGCTATGTCAACATTTTCAATGCACTATAGAGCATCCACCACAAGCCCTAAAACCCTAAGCTCTTGCACTAGAATCAACCAAACCTCTCTGTGATTGATCTTATGGCTTCACCTAAACAAGGCAGATATCCATACAACTATGTAGGCATGCCTTGTTCATTTTCTTCATAAAAAGCCCAAACTATTCATAAAAGACCAAACTAAGGCAAAATTGATTTTAATGGACTAGATGTGCATTTTATACATCGCTTAAAAACCCGCGACCTCCACTCCCATGGAGCCGGCGACCGTTACCGTTAGCCAAGCCGCCCAGCTCCATGCGCAGCTCGTCAAAACAGCCCCACACTCCGATTCCTACCTCGCCAACGCCACTCTCCGCGCCTACTCCAAATCCTCTCGCCCAGGCCGCGCTCTCAAGCTATTCCTCCATCTCCAATGCCACCCCTTCGCACCAATCCCCGACCACTTCACCTTCTCCACTCTCCTATCTGCCGCCGCCCGCCTCGGCTCTTTCGCAGCCGGCCGCCAGCTCCACGCCCTCCTCCTCAAATCCGCTCTTCACTCTTCCTCATCTCATCACTCCCTCAACTCCCTCATCTTCTTTTACTCCTCATGTCGTCTCCTCCTCCCCGCACTCCAGGTATTCGATGAAATGCCCCAACGGGATGTCGTCTCCTGGACCTCTGCCATCGCTGCTGCTGTCGATGCTGATTCCTCAGGTTATGCCCTCGACCTCTTCGAATCTATGATGGCTGATGGTATCCCACCCAATGATGCTACAACTGTTGTTGCGCTCCGAGCTTGTGCAGATCTTGGAGCACTTGCTACTGGCCGAAGAATCCACCGCTTTGCCCGTGTTCTTGGGTTCAGTTCCAATCCCAACGTCTCCACTGCCCTTATTGATATGTATGCGAAGTGCGGAAGGCTTAAGTGCGCAGAAGAGATCTTTGACAGAATGCCTGAAAAGGATGTTTTTGCATGGACGGCTATGATTTTTGGGTTCTCGAATCATGGAAAAAGTAGGGAGGCCCTTGATTTGTTTCAAAGGATGGTGGAGATGGGCGTGAGGCCTGATGACCGGACCATTACTGCTGTTCTATGTGCATGTAGGAGTAAAGGCTGGGTTGCTGAGGGCTATAGAGTTTATAATAACATGCATAAGTTTGGGATGAGGCCAAGGATCCAACATTATGGTTGTATGGTGGATTTGCTTGCAAGGGCTGGACACTTAGATGAAGCGGAAGGATTTATCAAAAAGATTCCTATTGAAACTGATGCAGTTCTGTGGAGAACAATGATCTGGGCTTCCAAGCTTCATGGAGATGAAGAACGCGCGGAGCGTTTGATGGAGGAAAGACTGCTGCTTGAAATTGGTTCTTTGGATATTGGAAGCTATGTTCTCATGGGTAATGTCTTTGGTTCAGTAGGGAAATGGAGAGAAAAGGCTAAGGTGAGGGAAATGATGGTAAGGAGAAGAGTTGGGAAGTTACCTGGATGCAGCAGGATTGAAGTTAATGGGATGATTCATGAGTTCGAGGCAGGGGATAGTGGTCATCCAGATGGGAGAATGATCTATGAGAAGTGGGGTGAGGTTGTTGAGAAACTGAGAATGGAGGGCTATTCTCCAACCGTTTCAGAAGTAATACTAGATATGGAGGATGAAGAAAAGGCTTCACAACTGAATCACCATAGTGAGAAACTTGCCCTGGCATTTGGGTTGATTAAGAAAAGCCCTGGGGAGGATATCTTAATTGTGAAAAACCTGAGATCTTGTCAGGATTGTCACTCTGCAATGAAACTAATATCAAGGGTGTATAATAGAGAGATAACCATCAGGGATAGAATAAAGTTCCATCATTTCAGCAATGGGATTTGTTCATGTGGGGATTATTGGTAGCATCTGTTTTTAGATTAATGCTTGGTTTTGTGCCGCTGTATAAAAAACTTAGGGGTTAGTTTATTCTGTCAAATATCATTTTTGTGTACTAAAAAATCAATGATATTGTTCAATAGTAAAATGTTCCAAGTATTTATTTTATCTTTGATGAGTATTTATGAGAATTTTAAGCCAAGACGAGGACTTCCACTCTTTTTAATGAAAACTGAAAAATTGACCAGCAAACATCCAATTCTTGTTTGTTCGAGAGTTGTAAATGAAAAAAAAATGATGACTACTTTTTCTACTTTTTATGGTTATTTCAGTTCCTACGCTTATTTCAAGTCACATTGACTTGGTCCTCCAAAGGTGATGGTACAGTGGGACTGTTGCTTTCTGCTTTTTAGTTTTGAATTTACTTGATACTCATTGTTTGGCATTTAGTTTTACTCTGAAGCATGCAAGTGTAGAACCACACCTAACCTATTGTGATGCATAACCCAAAGTCCCAAGTCACTAGAAACACAAAATGTGTACCTGTAAGCTGCTATTTTGAAATTTTATTTTACATTTTTAAATTTTGAATTTTTTTTATAAGCAGTTTGTAAGTCGGTCGAAATCTGTTTTGTATGTAAATGATTTTATCCTATTTCTATAGATTCTTTGCTCTTTTATTTCAAAGGCTGGTTTCCTTTATTCCTCCTTTGGTTGCTTCAGGTCAGCTGATTCATTGTGGTTTCCTTATTTCCACAGCTTGGCATGTCCTCTTTGTTTCTTAAGCCGAGCTTTTTGGTTTTAATCAATCGATTGCCTTAATTTTTGAAATGTAGCTTTGGTGGCAATTATAGGTTTTTATTTTTCAGGTAATTGAGTGCTCAAACCCAACACATTGGGATTCTTCATTTTGTTTCCAAACCAATGTGCCATGCGTTCGAGCACCGTGACCCCTTATAGTTGGTTTACTTATTTTTTTTCCTTGTTGGGCTATGATTGCGCTAAAAGACTTGTTGCTATTAGTGTTTTGTTTTTTATTTTATGCAAAATAACACAAAAGCCAAATTCACACAACAGACAAAACAATCAAACAACATGATTCACATGGTTCAAAGCAAATCTGCCTATGTCTATGGAGAGGGGTTATTCCACTATCAATAGATAGGGAAAAAGAAAAAAAACAGTTCAAATAGGGTTACAACTTCACACACCACAATCAACTCTAATCCTTCCTATAAATAAGGATTAGGACGCACTAGAAAATAAAAAATGACCAATTTACTCCTTATATAAATAAAGCCTTTAATACAATAATCTTCGCCTCATCTTTCCTTTGACTTCCAGATGAGTAGGAGAGGATCAAATGAGCTTCAACATCAACATGTTTGCACCAAGATTGTTGCTCATGTACCCCTCTCATGAAGGGATCAAACATTGCACAGTTCCTTAAAATGCATAAATGAGTTATCAATCATGAGCTCCAATTTTTACTAAAGTCTTACAATAGGTAAATTTCTAAACTAGTTGTACCTTTGTGAGCATGTCCACTAGATTTTCATTCATTTGTATCTTCTTCGATAAGTTGATTATAGAGATTGAGGTGACTTGATCATGGTGAATTTGGAGGTTATGATGCTGGTTGAGGAGGAACGCCAAAGGAAGAACAAGATGAACTCTTACAATAATAGTTCTAGCTTATAGTCGTCTGTCCTAGCCTGAAATGTTGATTTTATGAAAATCCTATAAAATTATATTAAGTTAAAAATGAAAAAGGTGAAGGGGTTTTCAAGTACTTAAAAGTTCTCTCATGAAATGGTTCAAATTGGACTTTTGAATGTGAAAGTAATTTAAACAAATCACGATAACAAATGAGAGCATAACTTCTCCAATAGTATAAAGAAGTTTGGCTAGAAATTAGATTTATTTCCATAAATTCAATTGCCAACATAATTATAACATTCTCTACATAAGTTAGCATTACCCTAAAAGATATCTCCCCATCCCCTTAGGCTAATGTGATTAACTTAGTTGATTCTATTATGATATCTTCTGAGACTCATAATTCACAACATTATTTAACAAATCACATGGCCAAAATGAAATGTAACGGAAAATCAAAAAAATAAATTATCACAAAAAATGTTTACACAAAAAATCAAACAAAAACTTTCACATCCATCAATTTTACTTCCCCATCCCAAGGGATAATTGGAGAATTACTCACTAGTCATGCTTGAGCACACTAACAAACTCATTTGATTGAAAGAGAAATCAAAATATAGAAATCTTATAATAGAATAATACAATCCACTAAGTAAAACTTCAAAAACTTGTCTTCATTTCTTCACAATTGAGAGATGATGAAAATACAAACACAAGTCTCTCAAGTTTTCTTAAATCTCACTTCTCCTTCCTTTGCTGATCTTCTTCTCTCTTCTCCATCCAAGTTCCTTCCTTTTGAATGGCAGAAAAAAAACCCATAGAACTTCGCTTCAATCCTTTTTGGCAAGCCGAAGCTTTGAACCGCTCAAACTGCCAATTTTTGCATTCTAACGCCTAGACACCACTCCCTTGTTCTCCAAACGGTATTTATGGTGCCTAGATGCTGGTAGTGTGATGCCTAAGCGTTGCTTAGGTGGCGCCTACTTTCCATGCTCTTGGGAAAATGTACCTTTCTGGACTGGGACTAGTGCCTAAGCGCAAGACCATGACCTCGCTCCTAATTATTCATTTCTAGTTTCATTCGGTCCCCTTTTTGCTATAACCTGCAAAGCAATGCAAAAACATTCCTCATAGCGTAACATAATCATACATAATAAAAGAATTAAAAGAAATTTTATACAAAATTTATAAACATATCACAAAACTACTGATCGATAGAACCATTGACTGACGGTCCTCTCACCGAAATCGATCAGCTTCTTTTTGATTGATCTACCGGTCCCCTCGGCATAATCAAACTGATATATGTGGTCGATCGACATGACCGGTCAAACTGAAACTTCCAGATATCTACGGACATTATATTTCATTTGCATTATAATATAACTTTCTTTCGACATATACATCAATTCAGTTATTGGGGAAGTTATAATAATTGTTCCCTCTCATTTATGTAACTGTATTTTGAGACCCCTATATGTAGACGATCAGGACATAAATAAAGGGACTTTTCACTTTCTCTCTCTTTCTCTCTTTTCTCCTCTAAGCTCTAACTTTCAATGAATGTTTTCCAAAAGACAATTTAGGATTCAACAAATATATATATTTTGGTCAAAAGATCTTTAGGATTCTTCAGTTTTGTTGTTTTATCCATATTTGAGTTACCATATGCATCATTTGTGAATACCATGTAAAGTTATGCAGTTAAAATTTCATCACAACAAATTTTTATAGGATATGATTGAAATATTTTATTTTCTTAAAATAAAATCAATGTGATAGCTAATGATATTTCAAAATATTTTTGTTAGAGATAAAATCTTTTTTAATCTTAGGGGATATTTTAAAAGCTTGTAATTAATTATATACTCCAAACTCAAGCCTTATGATAACCTCAAATTGTATATCAAAAGAAATATTTGACATGCTACAATAATACGTAATTAGAGAGAGAGAGAGAGAGAGAGAGAGAGAGAGAGAGAGAGAGAGAGAGATTTTAAAAAAAAGGGTTGTGGTATTCCCTCTTTTAATTTCTATTATTTTGCATTAATTTTCTTATGAAGACAAATATTTGATATAAATGTCACTGGAACTCAGTCAAATATAGATCTCTAGGTGACTTTGGATATAAGAGGATTCTGTTGAACATTGTAAGAATATATATCATATGTTTGTGAGCTTTATTGTAGTTGTTCCTTTCATCCTATTTACTATTTTTTTTGATATTTTTTCAATATCTTATTACAATTCAACCTTTTCTATAATCCCTCTAAATAAGGATGCAACACATGGTTGGGATGGGATATAAACACCCTTCCAAGATGGTTCATAATGTTTCAAATTAGAAACCACTAAGCGAGTGGATTCAAAGTGAGACCTTCATGAATTAAATGCCAAATCATTTTCATACTTTTTGTATAGTTAACTTTGATGCTTAGATGAGACTGTTCATGTGTAAAATTGTAAAACATATTGCTCATTAAAAAAAAAAAGTTATGTGCTCGTAGAATAGAACTAAATCCTTGCAGAAAATCTCATTTCCCTTTTGCTTTTCCACTAGAGGTCTCATGGGTTTTTCCTGGTTGTCAGAAACCATAAATCAATTTCAACAGTTCTCTTAATTCTTTTGCATATCTGAAGTTGAATCACGTCACATATCTCCTTCAAACACTATTTCTAAATTTCATCTATAGAATGGATTTTATTATTATTTTTTTTCTAATTTATGTTAATTAAAATGCAACACTCATTAAGTTTAATACTTAAATTGTGTTATTTTGTTGTTTTTAATCATAATCAATATGCATATTTTTTTGATGTTTTCAATAGTGTGTCAATCATGCATCTATCATGTATCTGAAGTTGAATCACGTCACATATCTCCTTCAAACACTATTTCTAAATTTCATCTATAGAATGGATTTTATTATTATTTTTTTTCTAATTTATGTTAATTAAAATGCAACACTCATTAAGTTTAATACTTAAATTGTGTTATTTTGTTGTTTTTAATCATAATCAATATGCATATTTTTTTGATGTTTTCAATAGTGTGTCAATCATGTATCTATCATGATGTTTTTTTATTGCGCATGGACAAATCATTTTCTTTGACAATCATGTTCTATGACACTTGCGAAGATTTGTGATGGCTAAATCGTGTTCCACCAAATTTCTTAAAATTATGCTATAAAATATTTTTTCCTGAAAAGACAATACAAGAGGAATTAAATAGAATTCAGAGTAAATATTAATGTGGCAACAAGGGCGGCCAACATTATTTGTCTTTTATTTACGAGAATATCCAACGTCGTAAAGAACAACTTGCACTTGAGAGCGTCAGAGATTTTTAACTGGCATAAGAACGATTCAAACAATGCAAGGTGGTCGTTAGGATCCGACCGTCTAAGGCTGCATCTTGAACTTTTCCTAGAGTTCTGCTCCTTAGACATGAAGGGAGAAGGCGTTTTCTGACTGCCATTGTATCTCGGTTCCCGCATATCGAT